TTATATTAACATTATCATTCTGACATCACTTTTCGCCAAGACGCAACGTTCTTTAGCATATCTTGGACATGTCCAATATAATCGTAGAATATCTTGTAATATTTAATATAATTAATTTGTTATATTAGTTTATAATTAATTTATAATAATTATTATATTAACATTAAACAAGATATTTCATAGTTTGAATATTTTATTAAAATATACATTTCGTCCAGAATACAAAAGGAAAAGATTATATACACTTGTTTCCTGAAGGTTTTGCGCAATAATGGCGATAGTAACAAATATGATATTCACTATAATAATAACATATCCGTAGTAATAAATAGTACGGGTAATTTCACAAATATAAATACAAAGATTCCAATAGATTAAAATTAATTTTAGAGATTCCAGTTTGCAGTTGCTAAACAGAGTTTAATTTGTAAAAACAGAGACATATTTTTCTTTCGTAGCCATTGCAAGAATTTATTCTGGGCATTAATTGATCGTGTATTATTAAATATAAACTTAAATAGAAGCAATAAACAGAATTTCAGTAAAAATAAAAGATATACATTTTAATGACATAATCTGATCGATGTGTTAGAGAAACAACGATAATATTTATAATTTACTGCGAAGTTTCTTATTGTATTTCTCGTTTTCTTTTCCTTCCTTTTCATAACATTTAACCCTTTATCGATATCATTGTATTGGCTGTGAAGCTTCTTCGATGCACATACATGTATTCATAAAACTAATTTGTCTCTATAAAGTTATTGCTTCGTTATTCCGTGCAGGCTTCCCATTCTGCTAATCATGAAAAGCTTTAGAATCGGCGAGAGGTGGACCGATAAAGGATTAAAAAGCGGCTCAGGTCATTTATCATTTTGATATAACGGACCGTACTTCCTCACATGATGTGAGAGATGTATTTTGTTTCAGTTGTAATAGATTGAAGTTTGTGCATCATCCTCGATTCGCAAACTTCTTTGTCTCTCGCAAGCAAGATTACTTTGTGCAACGTGTAATATATTCATTTGTACGTATTTTACGTGTGAACGTTAAATATTGTCATTCTCTCTCTTGTTTTTTTGTTCCTTTCCTTTATTCTTCCCCTTGTTCACTTTAGTCCCTTTTCACTCGATACGCAGTTCAATAAATATCATTCCAAGCGATAGATTGCATTAATTAAAATGCTAGAAACAGAGATATATAAACTTACAATCTTACAATATTCTCGTGAACTTTCACTATATAGGCGACATTCTCTACACAATAGATCGTTCAATAAGATTAATGTAACTTGCGAAATACATATATACAATAAGTGTTCCAATAACATAATCAATTTCCGATGTTCAGTAACATCAAGTTAATTAACATTAACTAACATAACGCAATATACGTAACGCGTCGATGGCGTTACAAAAAGGCATTAAAATGATGTAATTGAGAATTGCAAATTATATATATATGATACTCTGATTATTTTGGCAGATATGGTCGTGTAAGCGGGTAGTTCTTTCTTCGGCGAGCGCAAAAGTCATTGATATTCCAGGATACCTCTTTGGCTATCTTCCATTCTCTTAAATCGTAATCCTATTAATTTTTATAATTCTGTCATTTCCTCTCCACCACTAATATAGCGTGTGAACTGACAGTTGGAACATGTACATGTATCTGCTTAGATGTATTTTTGAAAGAATGGTAAGATCTTTACATTATATCCCAAAATATTGCGAATATAATTTTTGCAATGTATCGTCAACGCCAAGAACAAGGCACTTTTAAGACCTTTATTGCTATATTGACAAGATAACGATATATAAAGGAAACAGCGAGGGAGAGCTCTGTTGTTTCTTCTATTACCGTACGATGCTACCTCTTCTTCTACTGAAATATCTCTATTTAAAACAAATGCTACAATTTTGAAGATACGGAAAATGTATATACGCAAAGTGAGTTATATTGCTGTTGATTCACAGACAAATCTCACCGAGCCTTCCCTACATGTCTTTCTCAACCTCCTCCTCCTCCATCTGAGATGATACTCCATAAACTATCTGATGTTAATCTTAAAATCTTTGTCGCAATCTTCAGATACCGAAAATAACTTTTCTCTTCAATTATGTAACATATATGTATATATACATATATACATACACACATATATATATATGTATATATATATATATGAATGTACATATGTATATGTATTTGGCGCGTAGTCATATATTACTCTCATTAAAAAATTAATAAATTCGCATTTATATCGCTCCTAGAATATTGAGGCATCGGCTGCATCTGATATTGAGAAACGAGATACGAGAAAGAGAGAGAGAAGGAGAGAAAAAAAGTTCGTGTACATTTAAAAAACTAAAGCAACAGAGATATAGACATCGCTGCAAATGTCAAGTCAACGTGGGTGATTAGCGCCCACGCGCTTAGAGCTGCATTCATATTATTCTACTTGAGTCGCAATAGCTACGTTTTCCCATTACAGCGACGCTTAGTATTCAAACCATGTTTCAGAGATTGAAAACAGGCGATACTCAAAGCAACGCAACACAAAGTGCACGGAGGATGTTTTATTCCAGAGAATAAAAGAGCTAAAAGAAAGGATATCGATCGATTAATATCATGTATATAAAAGTGAAAATATAACATATTATTACACGCCAATTTCCATGACCCGAAAGAAACGAGAGACTTCGAGTGTTTGCTTTTCGTCTACGATATGTTTCATCACAGTTATGTGCGTAATACAAATAGCAATAATAATAATGCAATAAGTATATGAAACAATGATTCACGCGTTGTCTCAAACATTAGATATATCCGAGGCAGCGGTGAACATTGGACTAAATGAGGGATTTATGCGATAAATAAAGAGAAGCGCTACATCTTATTAAGGATAACTTAGTAAGGTGTAGACATGTTTCGCGAAATTCTAAACAAAACGAGCCAGTTCGACCAAGATATTCTATAAGAACTTATTAAAACCCGTCGAACGAACTCTTCTTCTTAAATAATTACGCATTAAATTAAAGCTAATGTACACGATATATAATTGCCAGTGTTAGAGTTAGCACGAGCTTGTGGTGTCGACTATGCGTGCATGGTCCGCGCTACGTCGTTATCGTTATCTCTTAACTTCTAATAAATTATTTACATCATTTGTGTGTGCGTGTATGTGTGTATGTATGTGTTATAATACGCTCGGCAATATTGACTCTTAACAAACAACATTGATATCCTTGTCAGTTGCATGGCAATAACAATACTTGCCGCTCATGTTACGAAGGCTCTGAACGAAAGTGTTACGTTTTGGAGTATTGAAAAAGTAAGAGAAAGAAACGCTTAATTTTGGGGTATAAATTCTTGCAAATGAATGGCGAATATTAGTGAAAAACGTTGCCGGAGGAATGAAATATAAATAAATCTGCATTCAACATTTTTGATATATGCGTATCGCAGACGTCTCTCTCTATTAATGCGAACTTTTAGATTTAATAGACAATCGAAGATACGGCCTTCGATATCGGCATTATTATCGTTATACCTTTATATTCTATAAATTACAACAACTTTCGTTAAAATGACAGATAAAAACTATGATATTTAACACTTGCGTTCAGAATTATACATATGTACAAACTTTCTATATTTTTTCCCTTAAGACACCGAATAATACTAGATATTTCCAGTATTTCCCTACCAGAGTGAACTTTTCTCGCATGTGTATATCTTTCGTCCGACACTAAATCCTATTACTTGCCGGATAACTGATATGGAATTAATTGACTGTGTGCATTATATTATGGTGTTTAAAGGTTTATGGTGGAATTGAAAACTTCCAAACTTGTGAATCGCATTAATATCTGCGCGAGCCGATTCTTTATATCGTCAATTAGCAACATTTATAATCTCGAGATTCTTGACACAATTCTTTAATATTATCTCAATTTCACATTTCGATAAAAATTCTATACACAGTAATAAAAATAATAATAATAGTTGTAACCTTTGGAAGATTTCATCTTCCACAAATACTTGTGCATACTGCATCTTATATTCTAATTTGAATAATGACATTAACATTGATGAATTTCATGAAATTAATGATTTTAAATGTGATGAAGATTTCGATAGATCTAAGTAGACATAAAAAGAAGAAACAGATTGATTAAAATATTCACCGCAAAAGAATAATTTTTGCAAGCTGACAGACACTGGACTAACTAATAAATATTTCAAAATTGACATGTATAGACGTACTGAGAAATTTTTTTTAAAGATTTTTACTCGGACTTAGGTTTAAAAAAGAATGTACACTTAGTTTGAATACATTTTGGACATTTTTTTTCTCGATGCAGTTTGAAACATAGCCAATGATCCAACGAAAAAACGAAGTTTTGATTAATTCCCATTTGTCTCATTGACTTACCAGCTATGTTGCAAATTGCATTCGAAAGCATCAAGAAAAAAAAAACAAAGTCTAAACTGTTAAAATTGGAATCAAATGTACGCATTGTGTGATATGCAAGATATCGATTTGCGATCGTTAGTTTGTTATTACGATCGCCAAGGCCATTTAGATATTTGTACACGAGTCAGAATGATTTCCCTGATAGCTTACGTATTAACACCTTCTAACAAAACTACCTCGCAAAATCTCCCAAAACTACTTCTTGATGATTTATAAGTATAGAGAATGAACAACTTTGTCTCTTGTTGTTTAGCAGAGTTTGTTAACCCCTTGCATTGGCATTTAATTGACGCTTGCGCGTGACTGACATACGCGCTTATATAGGCTGATGCTCAAGGAGTACAAAAGCATACATTTACATTACGTGTTTGAGACGTGCTAGACGTAGATTCGTAAGTAATAGAACATAAATGATTCCAACGCAAGCGGTTAATGTTATCGTGAAAATTCGGAACCATTTAAATATATATATATATATATATATATATATATATATATATATATACATATATACGTATATACTAGAGCGTATACAGGAGACAATCATGCTGAAGCTTTTTGCAGAACCATACCATATTATTCAACAGCGAAGCCACAAGTTTCCTCAACTGCCTGTGTAAGTTTGTCAAGCATTTTTTGATAATTCGGGTAATTTTGCGGTATGTCTATTCTATTGAAACAAGTATGTGCTTTTGGTAGATTTTCACTTGGAGCATCGACAACGTGGATCGTGAAAAGTCGAGGACCCGCCGCTCCTGTCGATCCTACACACACATAAATGCAATGAGTTATTTGAGTAAAATAAAAAATTTTAGCATAAATATTAATAATTAATGTAAATATTACATTTACATTATTAATTTACATATTATATATAATTATTTACATTGTTTATTAATATAATATAAATACTATGTTTAATGTAAATACTATGCTAATTAAATATACAAAATTTAATGCAATGTGCATAAATATTAAACTAATATTTCCTGGTAAATGTTGAGAATATTCAGAATATTTTAGAACTTGAGAGAGAATATAATAATTATATCATAATCTCTTATTAATCACTTACTAATCACTTAATGATATCAATACAATGATATCAGTTCTGTGTATGAATGATTGGTGACATTTACCTTGCAGAGCCTTGAATCCTTGTAACGGGACTCTGGAACTGCCGGTAACAAACTGAAGTAATCGTGCCCTCATTTCCTCGCCGTACGACTCTACTATTTGCCAGAACCATTGCACCACTGGTGTATCAGGTGTACAGTGCTTAAGCCGAGTGTGCATCTTCCAATCGTTTATGTCGATAGTACCAAGACCACCGATAACCAATTCCAATTCGCGCTCATCGAACGGTCTCAGTAACAGCGGAGGAATCAATTCGTGGAATCCTTTCTGCAACGCTAAGAACTGTTGCTCGATACCGCGCATGAATCGATAGTTGACGTATAAACGGACGTATTCCCGTTTGTTCTCCTCCGTTACCGGAATGTCTTTACCACCCGGTTTCAATTCGTGATTCTTCAACACTCCGAAGCTGCTGTGTTCTACGGAGAATGTGGCATCTAACACACCGTCTATACTATTTTCCCTAATAACATGAGATACAATGAATTACAAAGATTATCAAATGAAAGCCATTATGAGTCATGAGGCAGTGATTATAAATAAATAATAATGATAGATACAGCAAATTGACAATTTTTCAGAAGTTGTTGTTAAGGCAGCATATTACACGAAATACAGAAACGCATCGTTTGCAAAAGTTGTAATTAAACAGAAAAAGACTTACAACATCCACGTAAGGCTCCTGTGCAGTTCCGGATCGACACCCTCGATATCGCTCAGTGTTATAGCTTTGTTAAGTAGCATTTTGTAGAACGGAGTCGTGAAACCACCATCGATATGGTGACCGTGGAAAACAGCGATGCCTATGATCCTCCCGGCAAAGTGGAAGTACGACAAGTGTTCGGGATTTATGCCCGAGTCCGGATTAATTTGTAGCGTGTAATTGTCGTCCCTCGAGTATTGAAAGAGACCGTATTGAGGATTCAGCATCTCATGCGATAACAGATACAACCATTCGCGCGCCACGCCGCCGTAATCGAGACCCTCCTCGCCGCGAAACTTCACCATGAGTCTTTTCCGCATGTCCTTCGGACGCATCTTCATTATCAGCCTGTACGATTCCTGGAAGAACGAGATATATTGTTTACGATCGCGGCGTAGTCGTGATGAATTCAGTCGAGTGTTTCCGATTCTTCGCGTTTAGTGACGAGATCTTTTGGTACAAAAGGAGAACACGTAGACATGAGACAACTTCTCACTTCGAATATTTCGTTTCTCGACACCTCCAGCCGGCAGTGACCACTCTGAGGTTGAAGGGCATTCAATTCCGCTCGAAGACACTTTAGTTTCGCTACTAGATCGCGCTTGTATTTTGGCAGTAGCTCGTTATCCATAAGTTCCTTGGGCAACTCTGACACCGTTTGAGCGTTTTGCGGCCGCACACTTTCCACTGAAAAAAAGAAAACAAGAATTTTAGCATACACCATATACACACACGCGCGCGCGCGCACTCACACGAGCGTTCAAATATTCCGCACAATCCACACGTGATATACGAGATTGAGATTGTCAATCTTTACCGTTCCTGAGGAGCATCAGCCTTCCGAAGTGAAACGGCATTTTGACCAAACGAAAGACAACCTAACGATTCGACGTTGCAACTAAGACTGAGAAGTCTCGTGCGTTTCTTCTTCTCTACCGAAGCTGCCTTCTCAATACTTAAAATAAAGCAGAACTTTTCGACGGAAAGATACGTGTGCGGATCAAATGGGAAATGAAAGGGGGAGAAGAGAAAATTCGAAGGATAATTTGACAAGTAAAGAGGCACAAAGAGCAGATTTTTACAATGAAACCTAACCATTCAGGTAGATGTGCTTGCTATAGATAAGATAAAACCGTGAGACACGCACACACAGACGTGACCTTTTGTTTTGTTTTGGTAGAAGCAAACTGATTATGTGATTCATATATTTCTTTATCAAATATGTAAGATGCATGTAAAGAGATTAGAGATAAGATTTTACATAAGGTCTTAAAATCGGCATCGGTGCTTTTCGCTTTCGGCTTTGATTTGTGTGCTTCTGAGTTGAACGCGTCGCTCTCGAGTAACCGTGTAACGACAAAGCCGTATCGAGCTATCACACGTGACGTCCCCGCGAAGTAACGCGAAGTAGGACTTTACTCTTTCTCCTGTTTTATGGGGAAGCGTGTTTTTGAGATATTTCACGATAACTCACTTGTCGGGGAATTGTTGTTACTCCCGTTTTCATTTCTCGTCGACTGCTGTGGTGTGTTAGGCTGAACTATTGGTGAACTCGTAGTGTCTGCCTCGGCGGTCTCGCTCGTCGTAGAATTGCTCGCGTTATTTGTCGTTTGGTTATTCACGTTATTATTTTGCCTCCTACTGCTGATGGAATAATATCGTTACATCCTCGTAGTCACAGAGTTGGTCCTTCCCCGTGACAATTGTATCTTATTCTTGTCTTATCTATATCTTGTCTTCTCACTTGTATACTCACTTCAAGAGATTGCTTATGATTTGACTGGACAGCCTGGGGTCGGTGAACTGCGTTGTGCGGTTGTTATGATCCACGAAATACACCCGTCCGCTTTGGGTCTGCCTCATCTCCCATCCGCTAGGAAGAGGACCAAGTTCACTCGTCAGTTCATTAGCTTGCAGATCACGTGGTATCCTTGGATCATGCCAGGTAGAAGATCCAGTGGGTACATGGTAGAAGTATACCTGACCTTGTTGGGTCTTTCTCATTTCTATTTGCACAGACAATAGTCACAATAAAACGTAATGAAACGAGACAAAACTCTTCCTCCTCCATGCTCCTTCTTACTTTACAGAATTCAAATCATAACATACATCCTAGGTTAGAAGGACGGTGAAAGAAAAAGTGACGGTGACGAAAGAAAGCGAAATCAAGGAGAGAAAATCGTGCGAGAAAGAGAGAAACTGAAGAGAATCGCGAAGGTCGACGAGAAGAGATTTCATATCGAGTACTGTCATTGAATTCGTACCGTAGCCACGAGGTAAGTCCGGCGGCTGCGGGGGATCAGTTCGCCTGTCGCTGCTTGGCATAACATTATTTCTATTTCTGTTGCTGCGATTAGGCCTTCGCGGTTGACCGCTATTAAGGCCGCGCTCTAGTCTTCCGTTGACATTTTGATTGCCGTTCTGTTCATCGGTTCCTCTGACCACGCGCCGTTCTCTTACGGATGACGCAGGTGGCACATTTCTCATGTTGTGCTGATTCTGTTGTTGCGTCGGTGTATTTCTCGGCGTGTTTTGCGCCGAGCTGTCTCTGCTAGGAGTTTGACTCGCTGTCCCGTCGCCATCCCACTCGGGCGAAGTATGTCTCGCTGGGCTTTCATTCCTCACGTTCGGCGAGCTCGCACTACTGCTGGGAGACGTCGGCTCCGACGACGGTGGTGGCTCCGGTGTTGTCGGTATAATATTAGGCCTGTTGATGATGTGTCATTCAAGTAGTACTCATGTTGCATATCGATATTCTAATCAGTGTCAGATAAAACGTAACCACTTATACGTAACAAGAACGATTTTGAATTATAAATTTGCCGTAATTGTAAATTTAGTTGCAAATCTATATTTTGATAGGAAATATACTCATATATATATTTCGTATGCTAATATGTTTACGATTATAATAAATATTTGCAAACGCGCATTCAGGATTGTTATTCGTGTATGTGCGTGTGTATTCAGCAACATTAATATTTCAACACGTAGTTCTACACTACCATTGTCTACCAATATTCATAAATGTAATATTACCGAGTATTAGGACGGATCCATTGCGTGCTTTTCGTGTGGTGATTTACGTAGTAAAGTCGACCACTTTGCGTTCTCCTCTCTTCCCACCCGTCTGGCAAGTCATTCGGGCAACTTAAATCTCCGAGCACATCGACCACTGCATTATGGCAGACTGTATTGCTCACTGCACCGTTGTGACCATCTCTTGACAACAAAGACACTACAATTTGCCCCTTTACAACGTCTGTGTCGTCGGAATGGGCTTTACACAAGTCCAATCGTTGATCTAAAAGTATGTGCACGTTGCAAAAAATAATTCTAAGAAAGAAAATTATTCAAGCAGCATATCTTCTTTTCTCTTAAATCGACATATCAAGACATTCAATATTGATTGAATGTCTGAGAAAATATTGATGTGAAATGTTATTTGATCAACTGTTGCAAAAATCTTAAATTAATTTGGATTCACAGAAACACGACGTGCAACATAAAATTTGGACTTAATTTAGGCTTAATTGTTTTCAGATATAAATGTGTATATTTTGCATATTTGTGTGTACATTATTCAGCATTTGTATATACATTTTAACATAAATATTTTTTGTTTGAAAATCTGTTCTCATGTAAATATCATATTATTGTGAATCTTAACACACACATATATGGAACACATTTATAACAAAATTAAATCTAAAACTATTAAATCTAAATCTAAATGTAAAACAAACACATACATCCTGTATCTTTAAGTCTTTGAATGGTGTTTGATAATATGCGTACACATCCTAGAAACCCTCCACCTTGCTTTTTATGGATCTTCCTATAATTCCACACAGATATAGTGATTCCATCATTCTTTCCAATATATCTGTATAAATAACAGTCGGTTATTTTTTTTCCTAATATAAATGAAATGTACTTTACAGTTTACAATATAGTTACTCACAAATCATAATGTTGATTCCATTTAGGATCAAGGGTGGCTTTGCAGGTGTCTGTACTGTGACACTGGCCAGAACCATCAACAGTTATCTTAGCAAAAGGATCAGGTAAGCCTAAAAATAATTATTTTTAGCCCATTTATTCATGTTCTTACATGTACATACAAATTCAAATTCGCGAGGAAACACGGTACTCACGAAATAAATCTTTTCTAGCAAGATTACGGGCGCATAAAACTGTAACACAGAGAAACATTGTGATTGCATTTATTTCTAATAATTTAAAATCATGCTAAACCATATTTCATATATTATATTTCCTGCTTTATCACAAGCAATTTATTTCCCACGAGTTACTACAACATATCCTCACAAATCAATTGAGCAAATCAACCGCATTGCTCCTAGATTCTGCATTAGCAATTGAAACAATATTCATTAATAATTCAGAAGGAAAGTAAGGGCACATGTGAAGCCACATTAGAGAGACACGTGAAGCTTGGAATGTGCTGTGTATTCTTTCTAAAGTGCTCCCCACTAGAAGATCCGATTTAGCGGTCTCTATAGTAGTCGGTAGTTAAGTGCGTTAAATACAATAATACAGAGAGAACACAATGCCCCAGAAAATTCCTCGTGCGGGCCCTGTCAAGGCTACCGCGGCGGGCACCAGCCAGAATGACACATCGGACTTAATGTCTATTCAGAATTAACATCAAGAGTGACCTCCCGGGGAGTGTTCGCGCGGTAGGGCCGCGAGCATCCGCCGAGGGAGTTGCCATAACCAAGGGACGAGGGAGCCACGGCTCGCGTCCTACGGCCAGGACACGCGACATCAACGGCATTTTATCCTAGAGCCAACGGGCCCTCCTCATTTGACGTTTCATTCGCGTCGCGACCCCTCGCGAACGGCGGCTACGGCGCGGGGCTACATTGAATAATGCACAACAAAAATAGGCCGAGCACGAGAGGATCTCTCGTCGACGCCGTGTCGTGGCCGTGGTGCCGCGACTTTCACGCTCGACGAGACGAGACGAGACGAGACGAGACGAGACGGGATGGGACGGACGGACGCCTGGTGTACGCGGCACTTACTCGTCAGACGGATCTTCGTGGCGCCGTTCCTCCTGCTACCGCCTGGATTCGACATTTTGCACGCACATTTAACACTCAGCACCGCACATCGGCGCTGCGTAATTGGTAAATAAAAGTGGCTTGACTCTGTGCTTTCTTGCGAACGCACGACGGCGACGCACTCGCCTGCTCCGCACCCACACCAACGTAAACTGGCCGACGCTCTCCGCTACATACACAGCACTCGCGCGAGCTACTCGCAATCGACTGCGAGAGATCGCTCCAACGGCCGCCTGCGACCACGCGAATCGATATCCGCGACCAGCGAGATCTCGAATCTCGAGGGCGCTTCGCGCGCGTGCGCGACCGTTACGTTCTCTTTTCGCCGGCGCCCACCTTGGATCACGCGGGATTTGCAGTTTCCCGAGGTATTATTTTCAATTTAACTTGTCTATCGGCAATTTCGCGCAAAATGATGGCGTCTATTCGGTTCCCGATGTATTCCGCGTTTCGGACTGGCGATTGAAACGTCTCCGTGCGCGTTTGATCGAATATTTTGGCTTATCAGAATATTTAACCAAAAAAGCGACAATGCGTACTAGTACCCGGGTTAGTCTCCAAAATGGCCGAATGCGATGCGTTCGTATAGTGGTTCAAGCGAAAATTACGTCACGCGAAACTTCCTGCGCATTGTTGTATAACGATCGAGTCTGGTTTATACAACGCGATAACGAACAGGAGCGGGCGAGAGTATGTGCGCGCGAGACGCGTCCAAATATTTTCGCGTTTTGCAACGAACGCGCCGAGAGTGGGAGGAGGAAGTGGAGACGGGACGGTGGCGGCGAATCAAGGTGTGAAAACATTCTCTCAGTCGTCGGTTCGTTTCATTATTTCCTTTTTATTATTGGGCTTCTTAGCATAGAAACGTACAAATCAAAGATAAATATACACGCGAATGCTCGTGAAAGAGGGACGGCGTACGACATACACGCGATCGTCGCGACGAGAATGTTTCATCGGAGTCGAGATATCGCGCGTCGCGCAATAACAGAATGTGTCATGATACTTTCGTATTCTTCCTCCATGCCGCGCAGCTGCTTGCCGTACTTAACGTGATAGCATGACTTAAGCTTACGAGTGCGATATGAGCACGTTAATAACATTTACGATATCTCAACTGGCCTGCTTCTACGAAGGGACTGCCGCTTCTTATTAGTATTACAGCGTTTCGTAACGTTTAATATGTGCATGTAGGTAACTGTCTGTCGTTTCTACCCGAGCGACATTATTTTTAATTATATATAAAATCGTGTGTATAATTGTATATAAATTATATATAATTATTTTTTCTCGGGTACATACGATTCGCGTTACATTTTGTACTATTATCGGTAAGGCACCGTCTCGCGAAGTCGCATTTTTTTTTTTTAATACACGACGCGATCGATTTGAAAGTATCCGTTTATTGATAGAAGAAACGACGTATAACAAATAATTTACTTCGAGAATGTAGCTCCGAATCTAGATTTTTCGGCAAGTTAGACGAATAGACTTTGTGATTTCATCTCGATCAGATGGATAATTGCGATAAGTTGCGCTTCACATAATCTGGGAAAATTCGCGAAATTGCGTGCGAATCCCGCGCGATTTGCGCGTCTCGCGCGCTTTATCCGGCTGCGAAAAATTTGTTCTTTCCGCGTTATCGTCGAACACATGCATCGTCGTCGAACACGTCGGAAAAGTCTTTGGCAGTATCGTCCCTTACTGATTAGAGAATTCCGCATTCGTCATTTCGATCACGGAATGTGGTTAACACCGATTGCCGGCCGTGCAGTCCCCGTCGTAATCAAATGCGGCTTATTTCAGTTCTCCCCGCGAAACGTGAGGAACGCGTCCACGAGGAAGAGAACGCCCTCGATGATGCTGATGGAACCTTTGGCCAAGCCGGTGTCGCGAAACGACGAGCTGTGGCTCAGCTTCTGGAAGAAGTCGATGTTCAACGCGCCCGCAGCGATGAACAGGGCACATCCGATGAGCGAGAAGAAAAGGTCCTGCGGGGTGAGTTGTTTTTTATTAAATGCGAGGTTCATCGCGCGGTCAGTGTTAATTAATTCTAAGCTGGTCAGCCGGTTTGTTCTTTGCTACCATGTGTGAGACTTTCCACTCTCACAAATTATGAATAATTTTAACAATTTTTCTCTTTCCTATTCAATTTCACGCTTTCACGGTGCTATTGAAAAAACGCAAATGCAGACTTCTCAGGGAAATGTACGATGAGTGAAAATATTTGAACACTCCTTTTCTTTAGATAATCTTATACGAAAGAACAAAATACTACATTGAGATTTAATATACTAATCGAGCGAAAAAATACATTTTACTCGCTTAAGTTTACCTTAAAAATAATTATACGTGCAAATATCTTATTTTTTATACTCTGCATGCTCTGCAATATTTGGTACATAATAGGAATATGCATTAACATACCACACGACGATTCACTGGCGTTCCCATGACACTGCCGATGAACAAGCCGACCAAAATAATTAAATATCCCCCAAATGTACCCATGGTTATCATCGCGGTGTGATGATCTCCCGCGTTGAAGGAATTGTAATGCAATCCGATAAGGATGCATACTAAGAGCTGTAGGCAATAGTATGAGGTTGAAGGGAGGTGGACATATACTCTTTTTTCAATTAAGCGCTATACTTTCTCTTTCTTTTAATCAAACTCGGACTCTCGCTCATCCTTCTATCTTCATTGTATACGCGTGTGAAAATCACAGCGGTAACGGTTTTTCGTTACCTGAGTGAAGGTGCGAACGTTGCCTGCGAAACTGGGTCGAGCCGAGGAGAGTACGTCGACTCTCTCGATACCATCATAAATAAAATATTATCCACTCGGCGTCCCAGTTGGCATAGAACTTTTATCTCCAGACAACAGGTCAGGAACTCTTAAACCTAACCGGCTAGATATAGTACGTCGGATCATTAACACAGTTACGCGTAGGAATAGAATCTACTTCGAGCGTGTCATTAACTATAATCGGTAGAAGACACGGTCATTGCACGCCCCACGAACAAAGCAATTCTGAATCTCAAAATTGATGCATCCAAGAATTTTCGAAATATTATTGTATGTGTGTGAAGTATCTAAAGTTACACACAAATATCTCGTACATTGAGGTATTTTACTCTTAATAAAAAAATAAATTAAATTTTTATTTCTCTGAATTTTATATATATATATATATATATATATATAATTATTATACAAAATATACACATTATTTATATATATATTTTTTATTTTTTAAATGAGATAGTTGATAATATGATTGAATATTGACGAGAAATCGTAGGAAAATGTAGAACAAATTTAGGGTTACGCGACTGCATTTTGCAATTGTATAATTTTCCTCCTGAGGCCCACCGCGGCGCCAACGTTAAAATTCAACTGGTTAGCCTTGACGCGATGAACACACTGCCGCTGTACAGTATATCTCAAAAAGTCGAGGGTTCGGTCATACACGTGCGCGTGGGCAAGCATGCGATAGTACGTCGCATTTACTACAGCCAGCCGCTAGTCATTAAGAGATGCTACTATCTGGTACAACATTGCCGATATAAATATCTACTCTGAGGCAGCATCATAACTTTGAGGAAAAAAGTAGTACAATCAATTTATTTTCACGCGTCTCCTCATCTCATTGTCGATTCAGACATATCACTTTTATCACGCTAACTTTCTATTTTATGCAAATTATGCATCACTATCGTTATATATTTCGCATTTATATGCAACGCGATATGTAATGATAATACTTCGTCGATAATACATCGTATTACTTTTCGTATCGTATTACGTAACTTTATTTTATCTCAAATTTATTGCCGACGTGCGTTGCAAAATTTTCTGCTATTTTTATCGTGAAACGGGTTTGGAATAACATTGCACCGTTAAGAAACTTTACCGATAAACTAAAAGAGAAATGATTCGAATAATATATAAGGAAACGCTATAAAAGATTGTTAGAATAAGACTAAGAGCCAACATTAATTTTGAACATAATTAGACGAGCATTCGTTTCACGAATGATTTTGAAATTCGTCTTTCCTTGTTTAGTGAGCAACGTTTCTAGATTTTCAAATCTCGGCTTTATGATTTTTTATAATAATAATATTTTATTTAATTTTATTATTTTTGATTCCTTGATATCTTGAGAAATATACTAATATATTATTGATATTTTCAAGCAATGCAAAATTAAGTCTGCGGTGCATTTTTAATTGCATGGTTAATCGCTGCAAGAAGAGAGATTGACGTAGAGATTTTACAACGCGTAAAAGCGTAGCCGCAAACCAGTTGTGTGTTTCCAAACGTTTCAAGACGCACAAAAGACCGCGGGCCCCTCTCGCATTACGGCACGTAGTCCGAAAGAATCCTAACGGAAACTCTCATACCGGTCGACTTCCGGGCAACTCGGTCGCATTGCGACCGTAACGAGAGGAGAGAACGCTCTTGTGCGATAATCAGCGCCGATTATGTCACTCTCCATTCTCGTCGCCTTACGAATCACGAAAGATATGCAGCGTGAAACGCCGCGCTCTACCAACAATAATCCGACCGCGACGCGCAGACGATTTTCTCAGCTGCGAAAAGCGCGATACGCATCGCGCAGATGGATGTGAGCTACTCGAAATTGGGTCAATCGATCGGAAGAAACGGCGCAATGCTGTTAAAAATAAACCCAAGAGCATGGTGTGGTGGCGGTGGCTCTCGGAGAAGTTCTCGGCCGACCTCGAGGATAATGTTTTTCTCGTGGCTCTGCGGGACACGTGTTGCATGAAAAGCCGAGCGATCTGTCTTCGACAGATTTATGCGATTCGCTGTCGATCCTCGAACTTTCTTAAAGCTCCATTTTCACGTGATTTTAAATGCTAATAATAGAGGACGGTTTCTCCGGCGGAGCAACTTGTCTTACGCGGTTCGCAGAAAAAGCGGTTTGCGAGAGAAGCCACCGCGCGGTGTGTTTTACTCTGTAAAAAGGGAGAAGCCTGCGAGTAAACGCGCGCGTTTCCGGTTATGTTAATGAACATTTCATAATGTTGTCACCTCGTACAACCGTATGTGTGTTGAGTTCAACTAAGAAAAAATTTAATTTACGATGTCAATACTTTTTTTGCTTGTAACGTTGCAAAATCCGAACGCTTCTACAAGTTATACGATTCGGATTTATCGTTTGATTGATTGATGTTCGTTGAATCTGTGTCATAGGAAAGGTTAAGATTTACACTTCACTCAGAAAACGAAAGACAATCCTACGACGTCGGGGCCACGAATTTCAGAGATTCGCGATAATCTTATGCTTATTATGCTTATTGTTATACTTACGAGTTCAAGGAATTTTACGATCGATAACCTCGTAATGGTAGCCATTTCGTCTGGTCTGTAAGTTAAAAAGAAATACTGAATACACAAATTAACGGTGTTGTTTATCGAGATAAATAAGAACGTACGTTTGTCAAAGTTCACGTCGTAATGAAATGGTACGTAGGATCGCAAAGTGATCCGATGAATTATAATTACATGTTAACTGACGAAACCCGAAGACGCACTATACGAACGCGCAAATATAGCAACTATAAGTACAGAATGTAAGCCGCATGCAAACTTAATGAGCTATAAAGAGAAACGAAGACACGACAATCGATATAGTTGTGCGACAGTCATGCAAAAGAAGCCGGAAGTACGCCGTATAAGCTCGATTGACATGTGCTTCCTTCTACGCGTTCTGAGGGCGTGTACATGTTTTAAAATAATAACGTAGAGTCAGCAATGTGAGGCACTGTCACAATTGAAATATTGCGAACATTATGTGACGGTTAATATAAAGAATTATCGAAGAATCGTATCTCATAATTAGATCTAAAATTCGAACATGGAAATTAATTGGACTTATTTTTTCTTTGAGTTTTTAGACTTCACTCTCGAGTGGACATTCTCGGTGAAAATTGCCATGCACAAGCGCAAATGTCTGATAAACTTTTCGCGAATAGGAGCATCTTATGAATAAACGTAGATAAATTTGAAAATAGAAGACATTTCGCTCTTATCTACGCAATATAAGTAGGCGATAAATAAACGTTATCTGTAAATTGACGTTATATCCATTTTCATTCATTTTGTTCGCATTCATTTTGTTTCGGACAATACGAGATCAATATAAACGTAATGTGAAAACGCGATGTCGAAATTCAATCGGGCAAGCATTTATGGATACGATGGATAAATATTAAAACCTGTCTTTCTCTCATGGATCTCCAGCTGCGAATTTTTCCCGGTAAATAAACACTCGTGACGCAATTAAGCCACCATAATTTAGCGATTTGTATGAAACTATTAACCATGACAGTATCGCATTACATACGTCACGGAGAAATTTGCCCCGCGGTACCGTCAAAGATAAGCAAAATAGTGCGTGCTTAATTGATACTTAGGCGAAACTTCACGTCACCCGTCGGATGACTTGAGCGAATCGGCACGTATGACGACCATGACATACCGACCGAAGACGGGATAGGATGCAACGAAACTAGTAAAAATACGTGTACGTTTATTTGTATGCGCGATACGTGTACGTTTATTTGTATGTGCTGCATATTTACATGGCGTCATCGAGTGACAGCGTCAGTATGTCAACGGCATAATGAATTTTTAATCTCGGTTTGTTTGAATCATCGGTCTGAAATTGATATAACGAGTATCCTCGCGATAAGAAGATATGAAGCGTAAATCGCGTTAAAAATAACCGACTAATTAGTCATATTTTGAAAATCATAGTTTTTCAAACATGTTATTTCTTGATATTATTAATTTATATAATGCTCAGTTGGATTCGGTACAAGTACAGAGAGTATTTATCTTTTATCGAATCACGCACTGTAGGAACTATTTGCGAGAAAATGAAACCAAAGATAACAGTAGCAAAAGTCTAAAAAAGTGAGTCGAGACTAATCGACAAATCAGTGTGGACAACGCGACGTTATTCGAGATGAATCGCTTGGATCGATTGTTAATTGTTTACCATCCGCGACGTACGCAATTACATCGCGAAGCCGGCGGCGTAGGCGACGAGATCTCAATGTTATTCCCAATAACGCGTGATTTCAAACGGTCGTAATTACCCGATGAAAATCGGGCATCGAAATGTAAATCGCGGTCAAACATCGCTCGAGAAGGGGGACGCATTTTTTGTACCGAAAAGGAAGACACTTTCACGCTGCTCGCGCGCCGCTCGTTGCCTTGACTCCGTTTTTGTAATTTCTTTCGGGATCATTTCCTTTCGGGGCGAATTGCGTTCTTTTTTACTTCGCGAGGCGCGTACTGAGACAAATCGCGCGAATTCACGCGACGAATTTTTCAAACGTTTAACACAGCAGACGCGAGCGTCTTCGCTTTTTGATCTAACGTCGCGCTCCGATCGGCCGAGATTAACCGAACCACAAATTAGCACATGAACGGGCGCCAGGAACAAAGAAACTCGGACGAACGCCGAAAAGAACCCGGGCAAGTTGCCGTATTTCCAATTTTGAAAATGTATGAAAAGAAAGTTCAAAGTCCACGTTCGACGAGACGCGTCCCGGTCGAGGCACGGCGTCGTTGTGCGTACTTACGTGTCCGCGCTTCTTACGATTCACCGGTCACACAGTTGCTCACGAGACGAGGGTTCAACGGCGACTGATGCTGAAGACCGACCACGCATTGTGGAGGCGCGTCAGCTAGCCTCGATTTTTACGATCGACGGAAACACGCCGCTGGTTTTGCTATCATGGTGTTCACGCATTGAACGGAGTGTACACACATGAATGTTATGGTCCAGTGACGCTCATTTTGACCACAGCCTGACTCGGAGGGACATGATTTATCCACAAATAGACGCTGACATAATTTTTGACGAAGAACGATATCGAAGCGCTGTTAACGCTAGAGAACGCGATTGACATTTACATGGCTCTGATATAATTACAAAATTCACCAAAGTGCACATAATATGACAAATTCGGCACTTCGGAAGAAAATATATGTTTGCAAATTTTCTTAGAATTTTAGTATACATATTTTATACGAGATTTTCCTTGCGCCAAATTTTCGTTTATATTTATATACAACATTATTTACAAAAACCAACGGATGTTTTTGAACATCCTCTTAATTAATCTCGTTATACACCTTTAATTGCTGAGTCATTAAAATTTGCGCAGATGTTCGCGAAAACATGAGTTAATTAAAAAACATACCTGTTGTTTTTCTTGGATATTTTAGTTTAAATTTATCTTTCGTGTCATCGCGGATGCACGAAAATTTCGTTAAAAATAATTGCTGATTTCGATATTTCGCGGCTATGTAATTATAAAATGTCATCTACATCAGGTAAGAGAATTTATGAATCGACGATTACGTCAATTCTACGCATTGAGCGTGACATCACGTTGCTTGTTACACGCTTACGTCACGTATCGTCACAGTACGAACAATATAACATACGAGGCTGATGTTTCAAGTTTTATAATGATCCACAGTTAATTTCCGGTACACAAAAGATGAACGTGAGAGACTTTTACATTCATACGAATGTAGATGCGTGCAGGCTAGTGTGCGTGTTAGAATTTGTCCCGTTCTAACGTCTAATTGCCCGGCTCGCACACGTCAGGTTTTTGCCATCTTTATTTTCTCGCCTGCGCTCTTAGCGTTGCGTAGCCGTCTTTTCCACACGTGCTACCAGCAAATTATCCGCAGCCGCTCGCGTTCGCATCCATTAGCCTCCTTTCGCCGGTTACTTATGATACAACGTGCGTTTTTGCACGGTCCCTGTGGATTTGGCACACCCTTGCTCTTTCGCTCGACGCTCGCAAAATGTTTGAACTCTTACGTTTATACATATGAATGTAATTACACGAGTGTAAGGCCATATCGCTGATAAGGAGATCACATGAAACTTGGTTAACGTTCGAGAAAATGATTTTGCGGTTAAATATAGAGAAACATTGTTATGTCACAGGAGAATGTACAAAACAACGGTCGACATTTCTCTGTGGAATTTCAAAAAAATTGCTCTCGCAGAAATATTGATACCACATATCGAGTTTCTTGGAAAAACGTTGGGTCATCGGGATTTAATTATGCGTATACATGTTATCTATCTCGCAGCTTCTTGTGTGAATCAGTTCCACGCGCGATTGTTACTTGAACTCTGACATCATCTGCTCGTCACCGTAGCATCGTAAAAATAATTGCTGAAAGATAATTTATAATTGTAGATTGTCAATTCAACAGACGGCACGTCGCACACAAACGACAGGCAAAATATTTTTAAGGCGGATTTTTAGTGATATAATTTAATTCTTCAATGATGTATATTTTTTAACAACAAATTAGGCGGGCGGATTTCGGAAATTGTCAGCGATGAGTCGAGACAAAAAAGTATTGGGCGCTGGACAAATGCGTATTCTTTTCGCAAACAACTCGGACTAGTAGTTACAAATCGACTGTTTTATTCGTAGAGCTGAACGGCTCTACGGACTGACGTTGAACAAGGTCTCTTAAGATGGCGCGATGGACACCGGTTCGAAGACCACAACGACAACGCGATAAAAGCGATGTACCAACAATCGTTATTTCTTCAATTCGTCCGTACCATTAACGGCTGAGCATTTTTACTTGTCAGACGTCACATGACATGAACTACTTGAAACTCGTGCTTCGGTTTACTTTTCATTTTTATTCTAACATAGTTGTACCAGTCGACGAAGCAGCAATAAAGGATTGGCTCTCCATGCATGTCCTGAGAGAATAAAACGTGGACAAATTATTATCAAATTTTCCAAATTCGTGACTTTGAAAAGACATTTTCTTTCTTGACTATTAGTTGAGCGATTTTTTATAGATTATTCGACAATCTTAGGAATGAACGAACCAATGGCATGCTATATAACAGAGTGAAACGTTCGTCTCATTTTCGAACATAAAATGATGTGTGTGAAGTTGACCCCGCATTTTTCGAATTTTGTATTTTTTCGAATTGTGCTGATTTGTGCCGCAAACGTGAGACCGATAACTTTAATAACATTTGAGAAAAAAAATAAAAACAAAAATTTGCCAGCCCCGCACTTTTTAGACTTAACTAGCATAATCCGGCACAACTTTCAAAATTTCGAAAATGTAAAAAAAATTTGTTTTGCCCACCACTTTTTGTTAATTCTTTTGCAAGTTGTGCAATTTTCGGAACATGTCTTAGTCGTTTCTTGTTGTACTCGGCTGGCACAATTCAGCACAACTTGCAGATTTGTGATAAATGCATTGTAGAAAGTTATTTGTTAATTTGTATTTTAACTTTAACATTTTTTTTCTACTGAACGAAAGGATATATCCAGTTTCTTCAAACGGCACAACGCGGCACAAATTAGTAGGAATTTACAAACAAAACTTGGGTTCATTCGGACAAAAGTGGGGGCTGACAAATTTTCGTTTTTATTTTGTTTCTCAAATGTTATTGAAGTTATCAGTCTCGCGTTTGCGGCACAAATCAGCACAGACGTAGCACAATACGGCACAATAAAGAAAAACTCCAAATTAAAAAAGTGCGGGGCCAACTTCACACACGTCATAAAACATCCCCTTGTTTTTTGTCCGTCACGGCTAATCATCTGATCCATTTCAAGTTTTAAGATATCGATAGAATCGTGTGAGAAGCGTGATGATCATTCTTACGGCATCATCGACGACCACAGCTGGGGTAGACAAGTCTTCGAAAGTAGGAATTGGTGCCAATTCTACTACCTGCTGTCTAGACTCGCGTTCATCGATCTTTGCAACCGTGGAACTCACGGTTACATCAGTGTCCACGCTAGAGTCAGAAGTTCGCGTGTCACCCGTTGTACTGGAAAGATCTCGTTCTCTTCGGAGCTACAGAGTCGCGAATAATTTCGCGTTACACATTTATCTAATTAACACATTGACTGCCACCGATCATCTCAACACTCAATTGCAGTTGAAATCATAAAATATGCGACAAATAAATGCAGTTCGCGATGTATATACTCGTTAAATCTTTTCGTTGCTTCTCTGTCGGGTATATATTTCATCTGTTACACGCAGTCGGCTATATTTTATATATAAATTAGAGAGATGTGGCAACATTAAAGCTGCTGGTGACCACCATGGCAGTCAACGCGTGTGTTAAGTACAACACTGAAGAAGATATTCACGAAACATATAACATTCGATATTAAACGCGAAGTGTCAAATTCGTTTACACTCACGCACCCACCGCCAGTAGTCGAAAACGACCCAGGCTTGGAGTAGATACAGAGTCATAACAAAGATCGATAATATACACATGACAAAATTATGAACGAAGACGGGATGCTCCAATAACTCCTCGTCGGAGACTTCAGTGATATCGATGTACGTATCGGCGTGTTTCATCTCCATTATCCCCGTCACTAGCATTAGAACAGCCCCCGTCATACACGCTGCGAAAGCCTTGCGAATTCGTTTTCATAATAATGCGTTATTATTTAACGTGAATACGCAAATGGTCGAGCAAATAAAAGCCGCAAATACTCGATATGAAACAACTAATTATACACGTGGATGGAAAAGAGAACACACGATTGTAAGTGAAACGTTCATTCCTCGAGATCAGTGGTAGGATCGAATCAAACGCCATTACGAGAGAGCTAATGACTTGTACATATTAGTCTTGTAAAAATATTTAACTTCTTAAGAATCGCTGAGAGAACCGTGTGTCAAGAGTTGGGTCTGTTGCAATGCAAATACGCGAGTTGCGTGTTTAAGCAGACGTTGCAACATTTAATCGATACAATATAATGATTCGGACCGTTGTGTTATCATCAAACGAGTGTCCAAATAATTATATTTGCATAAGCATGTTATATATATTCCGTATATTTTCGTAAGCAACTTTCAAAGTAAAGACTCACTATCACGGGTCGGTCGGCCAGTGTGTATCTAAACCAGAGGATCGTAAGGAAAAAACTCATCAGCATACAGATAGGGTACAAAAAGAAAATGGGATTTCTCTCCTCCGGCAGTGCCGGGATCGTGTCGTCCTTCTCTCGCGCGTATTTATTCGCATAGTGATGCACGTGATGAAATATCTCAATAACCGATATGAACACCTGAAAAGAAATATTCCAGGTCTGACAGGGAAGGACGAGAGAGAGCAAGCGAGAGAAAAAAATGTATCTCTCTTTTCTTTTTCGTTTCTAACAAAAGCGCTCTCGAGCCTGCGAGATACGTCTCGTGGGCAGCAACGCTCTTAGCAGGTTTCCACTGATTGTGATAAAATTGTCAGCTGAAATGGAACGCGGGTAATCGAACACCACGGGAAGCCGCGCGGTCTTCCTCCTGAAGTGATTAGAATTCGCGGTGTACGTACGCGTGCTGACACGCATGTTTACACACAGAGCCCGATATACGTGTCGTCGCGCGTAACATCGTGTTCGATTACATAATAAAGAAACACAGGCGCCGCGATTATCGTGAGAACGTCTGCACTGAATCACGGCGCGACGACGAGGAATCCGGTCCAAAGGAAAAAAAAAAAAAGAAACGAAAACTGGGTCGCCCGGTCGCATTGTTTAATATAAAGAGTCATTTTACCCTCGCGCGCATGCATGATGTGACACGTAAAGATAGCGATGCTATCTCGAGGTGTTACATATCGTGTTCTTCCGCGAGGAAAGTAGATCATGGAAATATTTCATTCGTTTCATGTATATTTGAAATTTTCGCGTG